TTTTATATACTTTCTGATTTGATTTTTATAAACATACCTAATGAAATGGATCATAGCTCTCAAATATACCTATAAAGATAACATTATTTTTTTACAGCTAAACTAAGATTTTTTTTAAAACTATTAAAAATCAAATATGCTCTAAAATAAAGAAGCAAAATGAAAATGTATTCTTTATGACATAAATTTAGGTAGATTTACCTGGTGTCAAACAGAATTATAAATTTGAGCATGACTCAATGAACAGATTTTCTTATTTCTTGATTTGTTGGATGACAGCTCAATTATTTAATAGATTATGAATGATCATTTCTCTATCAGTCCTAAACTAACATTTTCAACTCAGTACTTACCCCAGTTGATAATTTTAACTGTCACCTCTCATCCAGAACCACTGCACTCACTTCCTTTGAATTGCTCAAATCCTCCCAATATGTTCAGTCTACTGATTTTCTCATGTTTTTATTCCCTCCCCAAAAGAGATGATCAACTGTTTCACTGTCAACTCTCTAATTCCATTAACCCTCCATGAGTCAACCCTTGAAAAGTCCAAGTCCTGATAACTCTAGCCATTCTTCCTACACCTATTTCCAAGAATAAGAGAACTACTGCAGAACAACCCAAAAACAAAGCAAAATTTATAAAACTGATATACTAACAGTTTTTAAATACCTCAACTTATCCATTGCTACTAACTGGCAATCTTTCTGTTTTGCCTCAAATTCCTAAGAATAATCCCCACTGAGATTAGAACTTCTTTAAAATGCAATATACTTTTCTTACAAAATCCACCTCTTCAATGCTTTACAACCTTAATTGCTGATGAGTTCAATAGTTGTTACTCATGAATTCAAGTTATACTGCCAAAATGGAAAATATGAGGCCTCAATTTCCATCTACCTCTCTATCTTAACATGATTGCATTTTCCGTGCCCCATTTCTTCCATTACTTCAGAAAATGAGATTGTTGTTCCTTTCTCTGAAGAGAATTTTACCACCTATTCTGAGGATTCCATATTATCCTGACTTTTCACTGACCTTGCCCCTACACTTGTACTTTTTGGCAAAATCTTTCTTACTCCATCAGATTTTCGATGCTGTTGCATTTGACAACAGTAATGAGCCACATTTTTATTACATTCTCTTTCACTGACTACTATCATGACATTGTCCTATTTCTAGCTCTCCTTCCACATCTCAAATTGTGCCCAGGCTGGTTTTTCATTCTCTTACCCTTAACATTCTCCCCCTACTCTTTAATCTTTCTACTTCTCTTTTCCCTATGTCTACTGGAGAATGGGGTAGGGGAAGAGAGGGAGTGGAGAAATAGAGGTAGGATAGGGAGGATGTTTCTGCTGGCAATTTGTCATTCCTCACATATGCTGGATGGAAAAAAGCTGAGAACTAGTGCTTACTACTTTCTATGGAAAATTCATTTATTCCCATACTTACTATACTTACATCGGTACCATAATTCCCCAATTCAATTTTTCTCTATAATTTTGGTCTCTTTCCTGAGACCCAGTCCATGCTTTTAGCAGTGTAATGAACATTTAGATTTTTATGTACCACTAACAGACATTTCCAACTTGACATAACCACACTTTGGCAATAACTTTCCCACCTAAAATGATTCCCTTCCTACCTTCCGTGTCTTTTGAAAGACACAACCGATCTCTATTAACCAGATTTGAAAAAACTGCGTCACTTCCTCCATTTCTTACAGCCAGTTAATGATGAATTAATCATCGGGATTGCTACATTATCCTCATCAAAGAAAGGGGGCAAAAAACTCCCCATCCAAAAGAGCTATCCTCATCAATTCTTCCTGATAATCTCACTACAATCTTACCTCTAGCCTAATGTCAAACTAAAAGACCACTCTCTTCATGTCATTCCTTTATCCAGCAATTTATAACAGCTCTATTATCAGCTATATATAAAGTCTAAACACCTCTAGCAATGTGTCCTCTGAAATCTGACAACTACCTTCACATTCTATTTACTATATTTCTCTACCACAGCATTTCTCAAAGTTTTTGTTCTCAGAGTCCTTTATGGTCTTAAAAATTATTGAGGACCCCAAAGAGCTTTTGTCCATGTGGATTATATCTATCAATATCTACCATATTGGAAATTAAAATTGAGAAAAATTTAAAACACAAGAATACACAGGCACACATTCTATTACCTGTCAGAACAATATCATCAGACATCATGCAGGTTAGAAAACTCCACTAACACTTGAGAGAATGAGAGTGAAAAAGGCAAATAACATCTTAGCATTATTATGAAAATAATTTTGACCTCTAGAAACCCTAGCTCACTTTGTGAATGCTATTCTACTTTGGTTCTCTTATCCATCTCCCTAACAATCATTAATGATTACTTATGACTGATATCTGTGTGCAGCAATAGGCTAGAGGGAGAAAAAAGGCTGAGAACCACAGGTTTACAAAATAATCTCCAAATTCATCGGCATGCCTCCTCATTTAGTCTGACCCAACCTATCAATTTTATTTCCCGCTATTACCATTTCCTTCCCCTCCTGCACCACACTTCAACGAAGTTTGGTGTTCCCAAATAGAGCAAACCCTTTTCTGTTTCAGCAACTCTGAATATACTATTCCCTTTGTCCAGAAGGCCTTCTCTCACTCTTCCTTCAGACTCGGTTCACAGGTTATCTCTTCTGTGAGTCGGCCCATCCCCAATTACCCTTTTCTCTGTACTTCCATAGCACATTAGAGCTTGTCACATTGCACTGTAATTATTGTTTATATGTCTGCCACCCCACTAGATAGTAGCTACATGAGGGTAGACTTGCATCAGACTTGTATACACACGTCTTTGCATTTTTAGTACCTCACACACAGTGGGAATCCAAACATTTGATCATTCACTTGAATGTCTGAACTGGATCTGAACTTGACTCTTGAATGAGTCAGTTCAATGTTCTTCTATCCCCAAATACTCCAGACCACAGTACTTGCTCTTTCCTCTGAACTTCTGCAGTACCATTTAGAAACTAAGAAAACAGAAAATCCTAAAGGAAACTAATAGTTATTCCTTCCTATAAAAGAGACTGGTTCATAGGGCCAAGTCTAACTCCCTAGTCAAGGGCCTCTATCAAGTGGCTCTTCTTCACATTTTCAACCTTATTTTCTATTATTCTCCAACATTAATTTACCACTCCTGTCATCTAATAAATACATACACACACTATGCATTGTTTTCTTTCCTTTTGTTTATACTCTTCCTTCCCCCAGGAATTCCATTTCCTTATAATTCTAAATACTATTCCTTAAAAGTTTGGTTAAAAACCCACAAATTCCTATGCCAGACCAAAGGAAAATTTCCCTTTCTGGATATTTGATGCATTTCCATTTGTTTCCTATAACCTAGTATTCATCGTTCTTTAACAGTTTCAAGTAAGTCAATGCTGCAACCCCAGATAGCTTGACAGCCCTTCAAGAGCAGGCACTGTCTTCACTCAAAACATCTGAGTGTCATTATGCACCAGATAATGGCAAGGTTTCTAATCTTGTTTCTTTTGAATCAGCCCTTGCTAGTAATAGGAAGATGAAGGCATGTAATAAATACTATTCATGATACTGATTCTCCTCCTAACTGGTCAGAATAATTGAGGTTATTTTTTCTACGGAACATTTTATCTATAAACATAATTATCAATTTGAAAATAAAATAGGTGCTATGAGATGCACCTTTTCAGCATTATAAAACTGCAAGCCTAAATAAGACACTTCATTTACAGATAACTCACTCTGAGTGCTCAATACACTCATTTTTTAAAGCCCATCCCTTTTTTCTCCTTCACCTTAGATATATCTTTTCTTATTTTAGTTGTTACAGTTTTAGCTCCCTTAACACATTCTGATACATGGCTACTGGTAATAATGTCAAACTATTTAAGTTGAGCCAAAGAAATGAGGCAAGTAAAAATCATGCATAAAATGAAAACAATCTTTGAAACTAAGAAGTTATGGTAACTAGGTCTCAGACCAATGCTTTTCCTTAAATGGAATTTGTCTAAAGAGCCACATCTTTCCTATCACCATTCCCTTAAGTATCTTCACCCAAATGGGGCAAGCATATTAGTTGAAAAATAGACTCAACATAACCATCAAAACTTAATCCATGATATCATGGATTGATGGTAACTTCTGAATACCACTTTCCCCAATTCCTCACTTTTGCATATGTGGTAAAGTCAGTAAGATGGAATAACATAAGAAAATATAGTTTAAAATAATCACAAGGTTTAAGACGCTCTAAGTCCTTTCTGTTTGTAAGTATATCAACCACAACTGAATGTTTAACTCGTACTTAAACATTACAAGGGACACTTTAGGTAGGAGCAATTCTTTCTGGTATATATAGATACATATTCCTTCAACATGGAAGTTCTGGAATGAATTTCATTTAAGAAGGTAACTGATGAATGAGGAAAGAAAGAGAGTTATCACCTGACACGCAGCAGCTCCCTCACCCCGTTTTTCCCCCTCCCTAAAAGCTGTAGGAAGTAAAAAGCTGTAGATTGTACCTTCCAGGCCAGGAGCAAAACATTGAGGATGGCCAGCAAAGGGCAGGGTCCATTCTCATTCTGGGTGATGATGGGTGTGTTCTCTTCCTTCCACTGGATCCACTTGATGTGATACACAGATTGTCCCGGAAAGCGTTCCTTGGAGGCCGCCAGCACCTGAGCGGTCTCCGCCTCCTCCTCTCGGCACAGAGGGACAGCCCCGGGCACCACCGCCGCGCTCTCCTCTTCCTCTGGGACCCTGTTCTCCGCTCCCTCCTCACTATTAAACTCGGAGCTACTGGGGAAAGAATGCAGGTTAGAGAACGACTCCAGGGAGTCCAGGCTCGGCGATTCCCCAGGAGGGCTCGGGTCGCTGCAACTGCTGCTGAAGCCGCCAGCGCTGCTGGGCTCTTCGGAGCCGGCGGCCGCCAACTCTGCCCGGCAGGTGCCGGCAGGATCAGGGCGAGCTCCCGCGTCTCCCGCCGAACCCAACCCATGACCGACTCCGGCCTCGGCTGTCTCCGGGGAGGCGGTCACCTTGTGCTGCCCTCTCAGAGGCGGCTTGGCGGCAGCAAGATTCTCCAAAGCGCTCTCCCTCAAGTCCAAGCCCGGGAAGGAGCTGCAGGGTCCGGGAACCTGAGGAGAGCCTGCGGGAGAAGCCGAGTCCGGGAGGCTCCTCCCGGCAGCCGCCGCCCCCTGCCCATTCCCGCCGCCGCTCTCCGCCGCCCATACCCCAAGACCATCCCCAGCTGCAAGCCTGGTCTCCGGTCGCCCTTCCTGCAAAGAACCTGTCCCTGGCGCTGGCCCGGCCGCCACCCTGTCTTCTAGCGGCTGCAGGCTCTCGGGGCCGCTCTCCATACCGGGCCTCCCGCCCTTCGCTCTATAGAGACCGCGGCGGGTGCTCCTCAGCCAGCGCCTCCGACGCCATGACAGCGGCGCTGGCAGCAACAGCGCCCTAGCGCGGTCTCGGCCAGGCACGTCACCAGGGAGGGTTCTGAGAGCGCGCGCGCGCCGCCGCGCTCCCCCGCCCCCCCCGCTAGGGGTGTGTCTCCGCGTGACTGCGCGCTGTGCGGCGAAGGCGAACCAGGCAGCAGCCGCCCACGTGGCCCCGCCCCGCCCGCGCGCTCGCCGGAGCGGGCTCCTGGAAGGCCGGGCGTGGCCAGGAGGGCGTGGCCGCCGGGCGCGCCCCCGCGGCTCGGCTCTAGTAGAAAAACATCCTCTCACTATGTGACCGGAAGTTGAAGTCCAGGGCAGCTCGGCTGAGCGCGGCTTCTTTAAAGGCAAGGCAGGCGGGCGGCCGACCGCTTTGCTGTGACGCCTCAGAGCTGGGTCGTGTGTGGCCCAGCCTTGGGCATGGGGAGTTGGAGGTGGTTATAGCATTTGGAAAAGAGCTCGTCCCTGAAAGGGTCAGGAGACTTGTTTCACCAGCTTGTGACAGGGAAAATTGAAGGTATCTCTTACGAGATGCAGATTTTAAAGGCGGGCATCTATTCGAGTTATTGTGCTTCTCACCAGCTACTGGTGAAACGTTCGCCCTACAGGAGGCGTCAGTGCGGTTGTGGACATTGGCCTGCGCTGCAAAAGAAAGTGTGTAATTTGGGCCAATAATAATAAATTAGCTTGTGTTTGAATTGGCCAAGTCTTTGCGGTTTTGCTAACTTGGCTTCACTTTGCTTGGAGTGGGAAGTGCTTGCTCCTGAAAGAGTGATTTTTTTCCTAATTAGAATTGACTCCTCTTAAGGCTATGCAGTTTTCAAGGAAGATTGACATCTGGAAGTTTTGTTGGTAACAAATAAAATGTATGTGGGTCCTTTTCTGACCTGTTCCAGGAAAGGGCTTTCCCCCCCATTTTTTTCTTTCAATTTTTTAGGCTCTGGGGACACAAAAATTAACAAGACAGATCTTCCTTAACAGTCTGACATAAATACTTGATACATAATAGAATGTGATGTTTTTGTATTTCTGTTGGTTAGAGAAGGCAGACAAAATTGCAAAGTAGTATTTCATCTACTCATTTAATACATTTTAGTGCCAAGTACGTTGCTGATACTGTTTGGCAGTGGAAATGCCATGGTGGATTACAGAGCTCATATCTTCATGTGGCTTACTGTCCGGTGATTTGTTTTCTTATTGCTGTATTTTTATTTATTTATTTTGAGACAGAGTCTCGCTCTGTTGCCTGGGCTAAAGTGCCGTGGCATCAGCCTAGCTCACTGCAACCTCAAACTCCTGGGCTCAAGCAAGCGATCCTCCTCCTCAGCCTCCAGAGTAGCTGGGACTACAGGCGTGAGGCACTGCGACCTGCCATGTATTTTTAATATGTCCTTGCTTGAGAAGTGCATTTTCCTGAGAATGCAGAAGATCGGTCCCCTTCCCCCTTTATAACATTGACATAATACTATGATATTTATCCAACTCTTGGAAAATAGGGTAATTAGAAAAGATAATGGAGAGCTTCTTCAGAATGTTGAATTTAGGAGTTTTGTATGCTTTTGATCTCCATGTCAATCCATAAGCAATTCCTGTTGTTAAATTCTAACTTTTTCCCTAAAAAAGAATTGCAGATGTTAATAGATTAAGATATATGCTGCTGGAGGCCGGGCCTGTAACCCTAGCACTCTGGGAGGCCTAGGTGGGAGGATCGCTTGAGGTCAGGAGTTCCAGACCAGCCTCAGCAAGAGCGAGACCCCCCTATCTCTACTAAAAATAGAAAAAATTAGCTGGGCGTGTTGGCACAAGCCTATAGTCCCAGCTACCTGGGAGGCTGAGGCAGGAGGATAGCCTGAGCCCAGCAATTTGAGGTTGCTGTGAGCTAAGCTGAGGCCACAGCACTCTAGCCCGGGCAACAGAGCGAGATTCTGTCTCAAAAATAAATAAATAAAAATAAAAATAAAATTAAATAAAAAGATATATGCTCATGGATTAAGCACTTTATAGTATTTTAGGCCATGAATATAAAAGAGAATACTATAGAGATTTCAGGAAATTCAGAATTTAGCATGGTGCCTCAAATGTAAAAAGGAGTTGTGTTACATGAATAAATTTAATGAATAAATCATTTATATGCCAGTGAACCACAGTAGAGCCAGAAATCATGGAGCATACTTCTCAAATAATGGCCTTTCACCATTTTTCAAAAACTCTACTTGGATAAACCTGTACTTGCTCTGGTAGTTTTTATTGGTATATGTTTCAAATGCTCACATGTATCATTTAATAATTTATTTGTAACAAAAGGAAACAGAACCAATTTTCTTTTCATGTGTTGTCAATAATTACATAAGCCAAGATGAACAGCCATGAAAATAAAGGTAGTTATTTAAGTACATGAAAATATACATATTATTTTTCTAAGGGAGGTGGAGAGCGGCATCTAGGGAGAATACCAGAAGACAAACTGATAAATGTCTCATTCCTTATATGTACCTTTAGCTAAACTGTGAAGTAAGATAGCCATTTTAAGTTAAATGATTACTACTCAAGTTTTAAAAATTACTTTTCAAAGTTACAGATGTAATATTATTAAAAGTTAAGTAGTTTATAATAAAACAAGCAGTTCCCTTCTCTATCCCTCCAAACCCTTGAGTCCTGTTCAGTTCCTTTCAACTCATACCTATTTTTGATTTTTTTTGTTTTGTTTTGTTTAAGAGATGGGGTCTCACTATGTTGCCTAGGCTGGAGTGCAGTGGCTATTCACAGTTTCCATCACCGTGTACTACAGCCTCTTAACTCTAGGGCTTAAGCAATCCTCCTGCCTCAGCCTCCTGAGTAGCTGGGGCTATCGGTGTGATGTGCCCAGCCTCACAGCTATTCTTTAGCTCCTTATCCCCATACTTCTGGGAAACATAATTACACTTTCTTCATTTAAAAATTGTAGATATTGCTTATTGATGTATTCCCATGGAAAATTAGGATTTAGTTATCTTCTCTCATATCATTCTTTCTCCCATTGCTCCAACCTCCTATTTATTTCACAATTTTTGACCAAGTAAAGTACTGAAAGTTTAAAGCATTAGAGTTATGTAAATATTCACTACTAAGTCAGATATTTTACTGTGAATACTTTTCCTTTTAAACTTTTAGTTTTTTCTAGAATTAACAATTGCCTCATTATTTTGTTTAATTCTTCACCTACCACCAACTTAGCCACAGACTTACCAGTATGATCAATCGTATCAAGTTATCTCTCAGGTCCATTTTAATCTTAGATACATCCCTCCTGGAACACTCCTCTTGCTCTGATCTGCACTTCTTGTTTTACAGATCTGCCGCACAGCTGTCATACTGGGATTTCTCTTCACTATTTCCTTAGGAGTTCCTTCCTCCTCTCTTCTGTGTTGATTCCTTTGTTTCTTGGAACTCCTGTTTTCCTCTATCTTTGCTTTGGTGGAGCATAATCTTAATTAGCTTCCTGAGAAAGAGTACATGGGAAGTAAATTTTTGTAGACTTTGTATGTCTGAAAAAGACCTTTATTCTACGTTTATATTTTATAGTTTTGCTGGGTATAAAATTCAAAGTTGAAAATACTTTTTCTTCATTTTGAAGTCATTGGTCAATCATATTCTAGCTTCCAGGTGATTATAGAGAAGTCTGACATTATTATGACTCCAAAACCGTTGTATATAACCTGTTTCTTCTCTTTGAAGTTTATTTGACCTTCTTTTTATTCTTGATGTTCTGACATTTCAGTATTTGATATATCTTTGTGTGGCTCTTACTTTATTCATTGGGCTGGGTACTTGGTGATCACATTTAGTGTGAAAACTTATGTCCTTCAGTTTGTGAAATTTCTTATTTTTATTTCTTTGATAATTATCTTTTCTCTGATTTTATACTGTTTTTGTTCTATTATATGTATTTAATTTCCAAGAGTTCTGTCTAGTTCTTTTTTTTGTTTAATGATATCCTGACCTTACATCTTTTAGAATATTGATTATAATTTTTTTTCTCAGACCTCACAGGGATGAATTTCTTTTTTCTCTTTTTCTTTCTTCCTTTTTTTTTTTTTTAAGCAACCCTCCCACCTTAGCCTCCCAAGTAGCTGGGACTATTTGTGCATGGCACCATGCATGGCCCCCATATTGATTATAATTTTTAATGTGTCCTTTATACTTTTCTGAAGGATATCTGAGCCATATGCTTCAGAAAAGTATACTTAGTCAGCATATAGTTATTGATAGTTCTACAGAGTGAGATATGGGGAATACAAGTGTGAAACATTGGCCTTACTCTTTGGGAATGTAAAATCTGTTTTGGGAAATAAGATAGTCACATGAAATCAACATTGATAATATAAATCACTTAATAATTAACATTAAATGAGTGGCACAAACAATAAATGTTATAAAAATTCAGATGGAAAATCTTTCAGTGTGAAATAAGGAAGAATTAAACTGGACAGGTCAGTGTGTTGGCTCATACGTGTGTAATCCTAGCACTCTGGGAAGCCGAGGTGGGAGGATCACTTGAGCTCAGGGGTTCGAGACCAGCCTGAGCAAGAGGGAGACCTGGTCTCTACTAAAAACATAAAAAATTAGCCGGGTGTGGTTGTGTGTGCCTGTAGTCCCAGCTACTTGGGAGGCTGAGATAGGAGGATCAAGTGAGCCCAGGAGTTTGAGGTTGCTGTGAGCTATGATGATGCCATTGCACTCCAGCCTACGTGACTGAGCTAGACTCTGTCTCAAAAAAAAAAAAAAAAAACCTATACAGTATTATCCTAATTAAAATCACATGTTGATTATCACCTCAGGCTTAATAAATGCAAAAAATACATCTCCAACTATCAAAATGATTATTCTTTTAAAATTCTGTTTTTCTTAGTTGGATCACAGCTTTTTTAGCTACTATGACAGAAAACCTGGTGCCATCTTTGATTTTTACCTTAGTTTACTGATTACT